GAACTAATTGCTGCCCAGACTTGGCTTTAAAAGGCAGGATGGTAGTTTACTGTATAGGTTCGCTGCTGTCTGATTGCGAGTGGCCATCGCGTTAATGTGCCAACTGCCCCTGGACTGCATAGGCGGCCTCAGCTGGAATACGGTAAACCTGGAGCTGGCTTCGCACATGACGGAGTGCTTTGACCAGAACCTGATCGTGCCGGCTGCCCGGTGCTTCTCTGTGTTTGCTGTAGCTTCAGCTGGCTCTATAGACTTGAGGTGGGGCTTCAGCGTGGAGGGCCAGGGCCATTGCCATGAGCCGCCCGGCGATGTCCAAGCGAAGTCCAAGGGCTTTTGGTTCTCAGAGGGTGGCGGGGCTGCTGTTCCTGGGCGCCTCGGCTGATTGCTCCAGAGGAGTGTATATTTCTGGAAACAGGCTAAAGATTGAAGTGATTTGCATCCCGTTTAGGCAGCCGCGACATGAGCATCCCGAGCCACCGCGAGGAGCTCATAGCATCGAAGCCATCCTGGTTGATTGCCTTGCGCGAGCGTGCGGGCGACCGAGGCTATGCGCAGCGCGCCCAGATCGCCCTGCACCTCGAAAGACATCGAAAACTGCGAGTCCTCGATCCGAGCCAGCTTTCGCCCTGCGGGACCGGTGGCTGCGGACTTTGACATGATCTCCATGCAGGTAAGGCAGCGACACATTCCCGTCTAAGTGGCCTTGACCTGTTGTCAGCGAGGTCTACGGGGCCCTCCGTCGATTCGAGGTTGAAGCAAGCAGTGGGGAGGAAGAGAGACAGCTGCAGAGCTCCTTTCAGCTGATCTGTGTTTGGATCCTCACCATCCTGCCGCTGGGGCTGGAAGACTGGCAGAGTCACCGAAGATGTTCGAGCAAGAGCGAGAAAAAAGCGGCGTCCGAGGTCCCGCTTCGAGGGCGGCCGCCTGGGGCCCGCTTCCTTGTGGGACTGGGCCAATGAGGATCCGCAGTGGGCCCTGGTCCTCAGCAAGGGCCTGCTCAGCTCCGCGGGTCCGAGGAACCCACTTAAGAGAGGGCATCTCCCCTTCATGGCCCTGGTCTCCGGAGGACCTCCTCCCCTGCGAGCTCCCGGAGCTGAAGAACTGGCGCTTTGCGGCCCCTGCCCAAGAGTGTCGACGTCTCCGGAACACGAAGCGACCGGCAAATCATGACAAACCTTTGGGTGCAGGTCTGCCTTCTCCGGACATCGCCTTCGGTGGCGAATTGGAGGCCCAGTCAAGGCCCCCCCATGAGTTGAAAATCACATCAGAAGCAAAGCGCTGCGGCAAGGCAGATGTCATCGCCCGACGCACCTCGGCCATTGGCGCTCTTGCGAGGGGTCTGCGGGACAGTCTGCATGGTGGTCATGTAAGGACTTGGGTGTGATCGGATGCGTTTCCATGCAAGAGCGGCTCGTTGGTCTGGATCTGCGCCGAAGTCGTCTGGCACTGGCTGCATGCGACTCGTCGCTGTTGAAGCCGTTGCTGGACCACGCAGAGGCGCGCACGAAAGGACAGCGCCCGCAACCACAAGACCCGGCTCTGTGTTGTGCAGTCTGGTTCACTGATTCGGATTTGCAGTTTGTCTGCACGCTCGGCCAAGGTCTTCACAGAAAGCCGAGTGCGTAAAGGCGCTCGGTGCCTGGGCGGATGTCATCGAGGTGAACGCAGACACTGGCATCAGCAATCAGGCAGATGCCACCACAGTCATCGATGCCTTCCTGGCTGAAGCAGCTGGCTATGGCAGGACTTTGGGGCTTGGTCTTCGGCCTTGCGCCAGAGGCCGGCGTCCTCCCATCCGATCCTGCCATCCTGTTTACCGACTGCACTTCATACACTATAGTCACTATAGGTATCACCATCAGTTCCCTGGACTATCTCAGAAGACAGGAGAGAAGTGCTAGTGCCCGGTTTGCTCAGGACTTGGAGCTTCGCTGGGTCTCCGAGCTGGCGCTGCTCGCGGAAGCGCTGGAAGCCTGGCTCTGCACTCCGCTTCCCCCGCGCTTGGCACACTGGGTCCCGTCTTCGCTGCAGGAGCCGGCCTGGAGCCGGAAGACGAAGCGCAGGAGCTGCGATCGGCGCTCTGAGAGCGCCTCACTGACAAGGTGCAAGCCCAGGTCACCCAGCACCTGGCCAGGCGAACCGTCTCAGTTAGAGAACTCCCGTGACCATCCTTTTTTGGAACTTCAACTATAAAGGCAAAGGCAAGGCAAGGCCAGGCAGGTCCTGCAAGCCCTATATAGGTCTCGGTGTGAGATCTTAGGTCTCGTGCTCCCGTACGGCGGCCAGAGACATGGGAGCGCTGGTATGCGTCAGTGCCAGCGGCGAAGCCGCAGCCCACGCCCGCCAAAAAAACGTCTCACCCCTGGTTGAGCCTGGTTGCCACTGCCCTCCGGCTGAGGAGAGACTTGCAGGAGTTTGTAGGAGGTTTTAGAGAATTC